AAACTAGGGACTAAGATACTATATATCGACCCTAAGTTTAGGTGGGATTTCTTAGAGCGTTGCTATAAGGACTATAGCTACTTTAGTATCCTAGGAGTAAATAGCATCCTCCGTATAAGAGGATAGTAGTAGTCTCTTAAGAGGGATGTCGAGGACTATATAAGGAACTGCCCCTAGTATTAAGTTACTCGTAAAAAGCCTCGATTAGGGACGGCCGCCTAAGAACTATACTTCTACTAAAACGATCGTACCCTTAAGCTATTTAAACGATAGGCGATCGATATAGTAGGCCCTCTTCCTATTACTCTTAATAGAAACAAGTACATTATTATAGTAATCGACTATACTATAGGCTAGCTACTTATAAGAGCAGTCCCTAATTAAGAGACTAAGACTATTATAAGGTTCGTGCAAGAAGAGATCTATACGAACTTTAGGCTACCTAGAGAAGTCTTAAGCGATAATAGCTTAAATTTTATCTCTAAGGCATTTAATATACTAATAGATACCCTCTAAGCTAACTACCGCCTTACGACTCTATACTATCCCTAGACTAATAGGAAGGTTAAAGCCTTAAACGGTATGCTTAGACGGATCCTTACTAAGATGTGCTATAGTAAGAGCGTCTATATATAGGATCTCTACTTGCCTAAAGCACTCTATATAAGTCGAATTCGAACTTAATCGAATTCTAGCTTAAGCCCTTTCTTCTTACTATTCGGATAGGAACCCCGAATACTTAGAGATTACCTATACCTACGACTTATAGAGCTTAATCCTAACGATATTACTAAGCGCTACTAAGTGCTCCTTAATATAAGGAGCCTCGTAGCGGAAAGACTAATTGCAAAAGTAGCTCGATCTAAGGCTATTAGCTCTAAGACCTTTATAAATACTAATAGCAAGTTTAAGGAAGGAGACTTTATGCTCGTCGTGTATAAGATAAAGACTAAGCTCTAACCTAACTATATTAGGCTATTTAAGATCCTTAAGCGTAGCTAGCTTAGGACCTATACTCTTAAAAAAGAGGA